AGTAATTATAAAATCATTAAGTTTTTGTACGTGTAACTTAAGTGTTTTATTATACATATTAAGGGAAAATGGGTTATTATACCCTAGCATTTTATATAATTATATATATATATAGCATTTATACTCACGTTATATCGTAATATTTCATCAATATCCAATGTATTTAATCTTTTATTCATAAAATATATGGAGCTAACATCTGATGTGAGTGTGACTGACTGTCACCAGTTTATGCAGTTATTTCAGTATATATGTTTTATCGAAGAGTTTGTGTCACTGTCTTGTCTTCTTTTCAATCACAGTCTTCAGTCCATAGCAAACATAGAGAATGTAATCAGAATCACTACGTTTATACATTTGATATTTGTATGGAGCTTGCTATGCTCATTCCGTTAAGTTCCGTCCGTCGAAAACAGATGGCGTTGTTTTAAATGCAAAACCATTTTAACCTTGGTACTACTAAATTAAAAACAAAATTTTATTTTATGTTAAAATAAATTTTAAAAAAAAATTTTATGTATGGTTCTTATTTTGGAGAAAATTGTATATTAAACAAAAATTATTTATTTGAAAAAAAAAAAAAAACAAAATATAATGTTATAGTATTGGCAGCATTGGCCTATGTAGTATTTTAAATTTTTCCGCCATAAACTCTTATTGTGAATATACGGCTACTCATAATATATTAAATTAATTTAATAAGTAATTTAGAATGCCAAATGGTGAGAAAATTGTCATCGGATATGTTCAAAAATGCTAAATGGGAAAAAGACAATGAATTTAAACATACTACGTTTCATTCGGATCTTTTATAATTGAATGATACTTATTCCCATTATTTATTGTCTGATTCTTAAAAATAATGAAAATGATTATAACGTCACAATAAAATGTATTCGATATAATTTGTATAAATATTTTTCAAGTCAATTAACAATGTTCAAGGTCAAGTATATTAATTAAGTTCATTTTTAAATAAAACAGTTTTGATTACCCAGATAATTAAATGTTGCGATAATAATTCTAGCTTGTTAGATAATTTTTTTAAAAAGGTGAATTTTTCATTTAGCAAGTTTTTTTTGAAAACAGTGGATTTTAGGAGGTTTTTGAAATTCAACAGTTGGTAACACTGAACTGCGGCTGGTTATTATTCATTTATTTTATTCGGTTATCTTCCATTATTCATCATTTTATTTTGTTATACGTTTCGGCAAAACATTCATATTATATTTACAGGTAAAGACTGCAACGCAAATTAGCATTGTTTTTCTCACCTGAAAATGATAGTGACTGATTTAATACATGGATTCAATCGATTGGAGGAAATTTACTGATTTTGGATAGTCAAAAATAATTTTACGTAAATAATTTACTAAACGTCACCAGACTCGAAATCATTCATAACAAAGATTATAAAAAAAATTGCGAGTGAAAACATATTTCTGTATTTTATTTACTTTAACCAAAAATAACATCTAGCAAGTTTGTATCCAATTACAGTTTTCTATACAATGTTATCAAATATAAATAAAATAAATTTCATATACACTGTATAAAAAACTGTAGTTGAATACAGCTCAAACAAAATGGTTAATTAGTATAGGTTACAAACATCTGAACTTGTAGTTTGGTCCCGCATCAAGAGATGGCGCTGTCTCACGAGGAGACTAATGACTCTATATTAATAATGTAGTCTTTGTTTTCAGTATATTTATGTCTTGTCTATGACCCTATGACTGACTTGACACTGATCTGAAATGGTTATTATTATTATCGCTTTCCGATATATAAAAGTACTCTTTGATCGCTTGGGATATAGATATGTTTAGGCATGTCCAAAAATATCGATATAATGATAGTTTTAGCCAATATTTGATATATCGATATTAAATAATGTAATATCAAAAGCGATTTTCTTAAATCGAAATTGTCAAATATTTAATTTCAACAATGAAATATACAATTCAATAATGAAAATCGTATCAAAAACCGATATTTTGCCAAATTCGAATCGGGTACGCAGGTGTCTATTTATTGATGTGACTTTTTTTGGACAACGGGGTCTCTAGGAAGAAAATGGTGATATATCGATATTTTGTAGTTGCCACTCTCGCCAAACACAAAACTTGTGTCGTGTAACATAGGGATGGGCAAGTAAAAATCGATATTTATCGTATCGACCTTTTTAATAACTCGATAAATATCGAGTGAAAAATATCGATAGTTCCATATTTTTGAGGTTTATTTTTTATTAGTCATATTTACAAAACTCAAAATTCGTGAATAAGAATAGACATGAAGAAAAAAGTAATATTTACTAATAATCGACTCAATCAAATACAATATATTCGAACCAATAATCATCTGAAATGAACATTAGGAGCACCTTTTTTTTGTGCTGTACTGACGTTGACTTTCGGTATATATGTCTTATCTATGCTTTCGTCAGTGTGGCAGGCAATCAGTATAGATGTCTTATAATCATCTATCTATGGTGGCAATCAGCCGTTTCGGCAACCCAACCGATGTGGCAAATGTGAACGTCAGCCCGCCACCTTCTCTCATAAAATAATCAGGGCTTTAAAATTGTATTTTCTATAAAACTAATGAAGAAAATGAAGACATTGGTAACAGGATATTATAATTACATCTCGTTACATACTAACGATTTCATTTTAATATTTGAACACAACTAGCGTTATGCTTATGACTGTCACTTTGTACTCAGTTTCCGTTGCGTCGTTTAATGAACTTGAGATTACTTTACATCGCCATCCATGTGCAAGAGGTCGCAACATCGTGCATGCTGACCGCGAGCTGGCTAGATATATTCATACCGTGAATCCCTACTTTTATATATTATCTCCCAGTCGATAAGTTTAAAATTTTACCCGACTGCGCCAGAAGAGGGGTTATGTTTTTCGAGAGTATGTATAATTATTTGGCGCGCACTGTAGCCTGAACTGAGGCGTTAGATTCGTATTTACTGTGAGTGACACTGGGTATATCAAAATAAAAATACACAGAAATGAAGTCTGGTCTTTTTAAATTAAATATTCTACTTGTTAACAGTTGTTGATTGCAATTCATTGAAAAATACGCCATAACATAAAAATGAAATCTAATATCCAGATATTAGATTTTATTTTGGATCGCTTCTCGGCCTTTTGGCTAAGATCAAAGTGTAGATTTTATTTCGGAAATGACGTACGATCGTAGTATAAAATATTATTAATGCTAATCTCTGCACTTAATATTAAACATTAAGTAGAAAAAAGCAACGAAAAGCTTCTCCCCGTTGTGAGAATCGAAGTCCTCGTGTATCGTGTGAAAAATGGTGTCTCCGGGAGTCGCGCACTGACGCCCTAGCCACTCAGCTAAACGGCTGATTGTCACACTGACGAAACTTTCAACGTCCTTTATCTGCAATCTTCAAATGCTAAAAACGCATTTGAAGCGATCTTAATTATCGTTAAAACGATATTCGAAATTGTTTGTATGCTGGAAAGGATATAACAATGGATGCACCAAGCATTGCTTCAAATGCTAAAAAACAATGTAGATAAAGGACATTGAGACTTTTATCAGTGTGGCTATCAGTATATATGTCTTATTTTTCTGCAACCTAACGGGTGTGGCAAATGTCAATGGACGGCGGGACCAGAATGATCAATTCAGAGACTAACCATCCTCTTGGCAACTAAAACAAAATTTGAAAAGCCATTTGACAGGTGATTAGTTGACACCTACGATGATCAGTGTCTCAGAAACGGGGCAGCAATAAGTTAGCTTTACTTTTAAATAATTATGTATTTTTGAAGTTTCTTTTTTATAATCTTTTCGTTTCTGTATACTTGTATTTACTAATTTTAACATATCTATTAGCTTCAATTAAAATAATGTTATATGTTCAATATGTGGATAATGTAGTGGGCTACAATATTATTACTACCTCAACACAGCGAATTTTCTGCTTTTATATCATATAGTATAGTCTTTTGTTATACCAAATAAAATAAATAAATAAACTTATAATAATGCTATTAATAAAAGAATATTAAGAAATAAAAAAAAAAGATTTTACCTTCTATATAAACTAAACACTGTTGTTGTTCATGGATGTTATAAAATAAAACAAATATAATATGCACCTTTAACATTCTATTCAATTATTTTTATTTCATGACTGTAAAGTGATTCTTTTACCTATATATTTTACTATAATGATTTTAAAATGATTTCCGAAATCTTTGTGTTAACAACAAAGATTCCACTTAAAAGTTAATAAAGAAATGACAAAGATTTAAAAAGTTTGACTATCTATGAAATATGAAGAAGTGTTTTAATTTCAATTTGCAAAAAACGTTGTAATATACTTCTTTTCTCATGATCAAAACACAGAGAAGCAAATGTTTGATACATTTGCACTTTTTTTTAGAAATTTATATATGTAAAAGAACTAATAGTAAAAATAAGATTAGAAAGAATGCAACATTTTAGTATGTCAATAACTGGTGAAAAAGCCTTTGCTTAATAACATATATTTTATTTTAGAATGTTTAAAACCAGTTTTACATTTTATTTTCAAACTATTTTGAGTTACACTAGAACTATGAACAGATTATTTAAACTCCACCTCCAGGGATGCATTTTTTGTCAAATTTTGTATTTTATTAATAGTGCAATGCAGTAATGCCTCTACATTAGTTATATGACAAAACTGAAACAATGTTAATATTAACATTTTCTTTATAAAATAAATGATTCAATTTATAAGCTGTGATGTATGTTTCATAAATGGTAATTCTGTTATAGTGTTGAAAAGTTGTCCATTAATGTAAGACAATTTCTTGCTTATTTTTTATCTTACACACATGTCCAAATTTTAAAACAAATCACTATGCATGTAAACAATACAGCTGTTTACAATAAGATTTATTTGTAATGGAATATCGCATTGTGTCATACAATGTCTGAGATGAAAGAATACCAAAGACTCAGTCCTCATTATTTGTTTCATCTGAAGTGGGTGTGTGCCATGTAAGCCGCTCTTCATAGAATTGTATGACAACTTGTGGACAGCGCACATTTGCTTGTTTGGCAGGTACTAAGTCTGCCTCATCTGTACTTTGCCACTTCATTAAGAACATCAGCTCACCACTGCTATCTGTTGCACCTGTGAGATAATCAGAAGGGAATCTATCACTACAGAAATGTACCAGGACATGGAAATAATAGGATTGTGAGGTATAAGGAATTCGCATATTGTAATATATCATGAAGATGATAAATAATGTGTAAATACATATTTGTGCATATAGAAAGATGTCTTACTAAAAATTAATAAAATGAAGATTTATACAGCACACATTGACAACATCATTTTCAATAATCAACTTCCATAAACAAACCACATTGGAAGTTTTAAATAACCTCAGCCCCCATGAGACACAATTATAAATAATTTTAATTTTTATATAATATGGCAAAATTTGGGAATGGTTTGTTTGAATGAAAATGGTCATGTTTGTGGTGTTTTATATATTTTTTATTACTTTCTGTTTTTACACAAGTTTTGTTGAGGGAACTTCTGCTGCCTTATATATAATTGCATAGTAGATAGTACAGTTATTTTTTGCATTTTGTTTGGTAAGTACAGTAGCGTAACTAAAAATTCAATCAAAAAGAAAACATCAATACAAAGATGTTAATTGGTCGGTGGTAATCACAGGTTGGTGGCAATAATGTTAGTGGAGCCTTACCCAAAAGGGGTATTAAATATATAAATAATTGCATTGATCTCTAGTTGAGCTCTTTGAGCAAAAGAACAAATTCAATTAAATCTCTATGATCTAAAATTTATAGAAAATTGACCTCTTAGCTCCCTATATCATCAGTAGCTTATATTATTACAATCAACAATGTACAGAATGTATTAAATTATAATACTAAAATTAGTTTTGCATGAATTATATTAATATATTTGGTATACAATTTCTTGTTACTAGCAGAAATAGTGATCTTATGGTTTTTTGACTTACCAATAATCTTTTCAGGTTCAAGACCTCTATCAAAACCAGAGGCTTTTTTATCATCAGTTTTTGTTTTCTTTGCCCCCTTTAAGTCTGGTGTTGCAGCAGAGTTCTTGCGTTTTTTGGGGTCTTTGTCAATTTTATTAACCTTTCCCTCTGAAAAGGGAAAATTATTATTTTGTTAATTTTACGATCACTATAAAAACAAGATGTACTCCCTCTAATGCTTAATTAAGGATCAAAGGATCTAGCACTAAAATTTAATTAAGTAGGGTAATCACATACCTGCTTCCTTCTTTTTTCTAGCTTCCTCAAAGGCTTGTATAAGGTCAGGGCAGTCAAGGTTCTCTTCTGGCTCCCATGTGTTGTCTTCATCGTTGTATCCTTTCCACTTTAAAAAATATTCAACCTGAAATTTAAAGGCGTTAATTTAAATGATTAACCAAAAAATCATTAGAACATAATGTACATAAATATTAAACATTAATTACATTTTCTTTTACTACAGCTCTTAAGTTAATTAATTTTATACAATTAGAACTATTTTTAATTCAGTTAAGATTATAAGTGCAATAAAAGCATTTCATATGGTTGTTTCATGTATTTTATTTAATTATAGCTATTCATTCTGTTTATATATATAGTAGAACCCGCTTAATACGATTTCACTCCAACTTGTGCCATGTTCTCATATATTTCTTAACACTTAATATGTCATCTGTTCATCATCTGTTTTATACAGAATGGCAGGTGTGCATAGAAAAATACAAAAGATAGGAAAGTTCATCAAATTCGAAAAGTTTTAGTGGAATGGCATCATCAAGCACAAGCTTTAAAACTGCTCATAATAAGTGGCCTCATAATATCAAAGAGAGACAAATCGCTGAAAGCTTACAGATCATTTAAACACATCATATGGCTGGATATATCATTGTATAAATCACCACTGCATTGTGTACAGTCAAATCAGAGGGCAATCCGAGACGGTGGTACAACAAGATGTTGATACATGGATGGCAACATTTCCCGAGTTGTTGTAAAATTAAGAATTGTGAGACATTCTTAATGCAATCTTGCCTGGTCCGTATTATTTGTGATTGCTGGTCTTGGAAACCTCGTGCTGGATTTGTTATCCCTCGTGTGGAATGCTGAAGGCAATAGGTGGCTGTCAAGCTGGGTCTGAGCAATCTTGTAAATGCATTACATCAAAGTTTACCTGTCAAACCAAAATAAATTTTTAATTTGTCAACATAAATAAAACTAACCTTTCCATTTCTCACTCTTCGATCTAAAACCTTTTCAACAGAAAACTCATCTTCTACTTCTGGTTCTCCCTCCTTTTTTTTCTCTGCCATCTACAATGCAATACACACATCAGTACTTAATTTGTAAAAAGAACATAATAATGTTTCAATAAATTCAAGAGATATAAGTTTAGTTATGGGCCTATTTAACATACATATTAAAAAGGGATTACAATTCTCATGTATGCCTTCAAACGACCAAAAATAATTACAGCACCAAATACTGAGGTGTATAGTAATTGCCGTGCTAATTTAAACAATATTACTAAAATATCAAAAACATTGATACACAGGCTACAATTAAGAACTTAGGTATAACAATATTAATTCTATCAACAATAATAAATGCAAACTTGATTTGCTTGGTAACACCTTATACGCCGGAGATATAATATTATGATAGGATATGATTTGAAACGAATGGCTATTGTTTACACAATAACGAAATCAGACTTTAACAAAAATTAAACAAGTTATTATCCCGCCATTTTGGTTTAGACGATGCATTGTATTGTAATGTCTATGATAAAATGACATAAACTTAACATTTTATTATTAAAATGTGAGTGAAAGATGTAATTTACAGTAAATATGTTAACTACAGTAAATTTAAAGAGTTAATGCAATTTACCTTTAATAGAACGCACTTAGAACACACAACACAATGCAAATTGCAAAACAAACCGGTGTGGGTGGTGAGAGTGAGTGTTGCATATCGATAGTCTGCTATCGATAGACAATCGATTATCTATCGATAGTTAAGGTAAAAGCAATGGTATCGATAGTCTATCGAAAGTATTGTCACGTGTCAATACTGTCGATACTACCGATAGTATCGATGGCTCTCTAAGTGCCAATGCCATTGATAACAGCAATACTATCGATAGTATCGATAGTAATGCGTGCGATAGTATCGATGGTATCGATAGTATTGCAATTGCCATTAGTTTTTGACAAAAACTATCGATACTATCGATAGCCTCGATAGGTTTGTACTATCGATAGCCAGTTAAAGGCTATTGGTAGTACAAAAACATCGATATTATTAGTCGATACTACCGATAGTATGGAGAGCCACGATACTATCGGTAGTATCGACAGTATTGACTTAGACGATATTATCGATAGTACAATCGACATCCTGAATAGTTTTCGAGGTCAACTATCGATAGTCAAACTATCGATGGTTGTACAACACTACAGTGTTGCCAACTCCAAGTACTAAAAATTGACAACGTGAATTAAATATTTAAAATTATATACTACCGTATACATACGTACTTCATCAATGTAGCAAAATTTAATTATATATATAGTATAGAATAGATTTTTTTTATTTATTTAAAAAGCAATGTAGATAAAAAACGTAAAGATTTTCGGAAAGGTAATCATCCTTTTAGCTTAGTGGCTAAAGTGTCAGTCACGAATGCCGAAGACGTGGGTTTGATTCCCACAGCAGCGACTAACTTTTTGTACTTTTTCTAAAAAAATTAATGTCTAATCTTAAGTGCAGAGATTAGCACAAAAAAAAGCAATGGCGACATCTCTCGTTCGCATTATCGTTGTAAAACGATATTCGAAGTTGTTTGCATTGCTTCAAATGCTATAAAACGATACGAGTAAAAGACGTTAAGATTTTCGTCGGTGTGGCAATCAGGCATTTAGGTTAGTGGCTAAAGCGTCAGGCCGCGAATGCCGAAGACGTGGGTTAGATTCGCCCACAGCGGCGAGAAGCTTTTCGTTGCTTTTTTCTACAAATTTTAATAAATAAAAACAAGTTTTATTTGTTTTTTAATGATGTATTAATAACATGATAAACGTCATAGATATACCGCCGGCAACAGCTGACTCCATAAAATGGCTGTGTATGGCAGAAAAGTGCATAAAAAACCCAGAGTGGTCCAGACCGCCAACCATCGAGGTTGTGTTTATGATATTTGATAGCTTGACGAGTTGCACGCTGGTGCAACTGAGCAGCATCTTTTAATCCGAACAATTCTTTTCAGCACTCCCCGTGATTCATGTATCATCTTATATCTCATGGGATAGAAAATGCAAATAGATACAACATCTCGCAGGTTCAAGGGTCAAGCGGACAGAACCTGGCGGAATTCCTGGTTTAGGCGCGATATCGTCGGTGAAATCCAGCGTCCGGGAACAATCCAAACAATTCCTGGTAACACGTGATAAACGCGATAGAAGATGCAGAGTGATCCAACATCTTTACGCAGAGCTAAAGGAATAAACCGATCGTCGATAACCCGAGCCGCCCTAGTTGGTTCTGAGAGGCTTCCGCCCAAAGAGAATCGTCTTTTCTGAGGTCAATTTAGCCTTAATTCTACTCAATGAGCCAGCATAATATATTTTTTCGCTCTATTTAATACTTCCTTAGACACCGAGCTTTTTAAAATCAAACATAGCTTTCTCTCTCTCTCTGGTGAGTGAGGTATCCGGGATCCACTTCATTAAAAGGTGGCAACGCAACTGCAACTCTACGAGTGTGACAGGCGTCCATAGGTGGTGGTTATAACTTACTATCACATTAACCGCAAGCTCGCTTGCCACCATCTCACATAAAAAAGGCGAGGGGACTTCAAGGTATTTTAGGTATGGATATATTTTATGACAAAATAATCTGAAATAATTGCATTTTTTTGAAATATTTAGCCCGTTGCAATCTCAATACACTTCTTACAACACGAAATCTTATTTGAAATAGGTACCCTCCATAAAATGAAATATCATCATTTACGGCCTCATTGAGCTTTACATAGCCCGAGTGAATTACAGCACGTTGTCGCGAGGAAGCAGGACACTCGCGGTCAATTTTTTTGTTTGATTCCTTCAAATTACGCATAGTGAGCTACTGCATTAACTGGTTTGCTTCAGAGTTATAGTTATCTATTCGTAAAAGAACAGTTAGTAAAGCTGTTCGATTTGTTCCAGAGCTCTTTAATTAGAAAATACGGTAATGAAGGAGAAATCCTGTTCTCTGACCAGTCCAGGTTTCATCCACCACGTAGACTCACTGCAAAGAACGAGGAAGAATCTACTGAAAAGTTTTATTAATGCCTGCTGTATTAATGAACGGGTTCCTACCGCGATAGCTCGTGAAATTCCAGGGAGGTAATTTTATTGGCAATATTACATCTTTTCACTATCGTTGAGATATTGAGTAATACATTTTAAACAGAGAAATAAGTTTTCTTTACGTATCGTTTTTATTTAATGGATATGCAGACAAAGTTTCAAGTTGGTCGTTTGGTGGTAAGCAAAAGCTTCCGCCCATGGACACTTGAAACACTTGAGGAGTCACAACTGCATTGAGATAGGATTAGACTTTTTTCTTAACGGTCTCAATTTGTTTCCACAGTTTTGGAGTCCTTAAATGTTTTCCTTCATTTGAAAGGAACTAAATGGTATCATCATGATTTTAGTATTTTTATAAAACTAAATTTTTAGTGTTAATGTTAAATGGGCTAAGCAATATTATTATAATTACCAAAAAATATTAAAATTAATAAACATGTACAATAAATACTTTGTATTTTTTTGATGACATTAATACATTTATATTTGACCCAAAACCTATGGGGTACTTTCGGTAGACCTAGGATTGTCAATTTTGCTTTGACTTGTCGATCTCTATTTTGATTTGTCAATTTTCAAAGCAAGATCTTGCAACACAAGAATTCCGAAAAATAAAAAAAAATGAAAATTAAGGTGAATTTTGGTACTTACAAGTTTTTTCGAAAATATAAATTTGCCCATATATTTTTATCGTGTTGACACAGGACCTTGATTTTTATGCACCTTATAGGGACTGTAGAACTCAGTATCAGGTATAAATTTTGACTTGCTAGGTCCTCCCGTTACAGGAATCAGTGACAGACAGGCAGACGGGCAAGACAGTGATGTATAAGGTGTTCGGTTCAATATTGAATATTGTTGTTTTTTTTTACCTTTAAAAGGTACGGAACCTTAAAAAACAAACAAACAAACAGGAAAAAAATAACTCACTGCTGTAGCTGTACGACGAAGTTATGCATCCACCCCAGCCCTCTGTCTTAGATTAGTAAAGAACTGTTCCGCTGACTTAGCATGGCCACCGGGCAGTTCATAGAATTATAGATAACGATGCGACTCTTAGACTTGTTTGTGAGAGAGACGATTGTAAAATGTATTTGAATATTCATGACATTATGTTCTGCCTCCAAATCGGCAACACGTATTGTAATTTTTATTTTTTAAAAACCTTTTTGACCAAAGTGAAAGTTTGACTACGTAGTTAAGGCATATGTTGTAGTTTTTACCAAATTTTGTATTTTATAATAAATTCAACACAATTAATAAAAGGTACGTACTGTCTGTAATAAAAAAGGTATTATCAAAAAAATATTAAGAGTAGTTAATGTAAATTCCAATTATTCATTTCTGCGATTGAAATGAAAGATTCGATATTGTTTAGAGATTTATTAAGATTCCTTTTAAAATTTGTAGAATAGAAGGAGATCCCTTTTTCGAATCGATTTTCCTCTTGAAATAGGTGGCCGTTTTTTGTATTTACTTTGTGCTCAAACTGGTATTTTTGACGTTCAATAATATACGACCTTCAATTAATTAATTAATTTTGACTTTGACTTTGAACTAAAAATCGCGTTGCTGTTTGTTCATTTTAAGGGTAACACGAATAAAACTGAAAGAGTTATGTTTTATATTTTTTTATTATTGTATTTTTCTTAAGAGTAGCAGTTGCTATACACAGGTCACGTTCAACTTATATACAGTATACTTTTTTTTTTGGATTTTTCGCTCGAAGTTTTGTAAAAAAAATATATCAGGCAGTTGGGTAGCCGGGTCGGTAGTGGGGGTTCAGTGCCAGCCGTGTCCGTGGGCCCAGGGTCCGTCTTCGGGCGCGGCGGCGGCCGCGTGGGCGGCGGCGGCGTACTGGGAGAGGTGGGCGGCGCGCGCGTGCTGCACCTCGGGGGTGTCGACCACGTACTGTCCGTCGTGGGTGAGTTGGATGTTGGCCGGGGGGCCGGTCCACTTGCCGTAGCCGGCCGCGTAGCCGGCGCCGTGGGCTAGGGGTGCGGCGTAGGCGAGGGGCGCGGACGCGCCGGCGTGCGCTAGGGCGCCGTGCGCGGCGTTCGCGTGGGCGGCGCTGAGGGCGGCGATGCGGGCGGCCTTCAGGTGCGCCACCTCGGGCGTGTCGACCACGCGGCCGTCGTGCGCGAGCGGGGCGGGGCCGTATTTGAAGAGACCTGTCCGAAAATTTTCGTGTTAGATAACACGCTGTCGTGGTAGCGTCGCGCTGGCGTCATGACGAAATTCGTGTGTGTTCCTTTCTTCTCCACGCCACTACGGTTGAACGGATTCGAATGAAATTTTGTAAAGATGGAATAGTAATTGACTGTTTTACCATCACTATCGGACTCGGGCAGCAGGTAACAGTTCTATAGATGTTAGTATTTTAAAACAATAAAAAGTTGCGGTTATGTTTTTTGGTGGAGGAATTGGACCGTGGCGATTTTACCGCCGATTGCTGTTTAGAAATATTAGCAATAAGTATTAAAAAAATGTTAAAACTTCCACGTAATTTTCATTGATAACCTACTAAAGAATAGGATTTTTAGAGAAGATTGTATATAGAAGGTTTTTTCGAGAGATGACAAACGGGCATGTGGTTCGCTTAAGGTCAGATGATCTCCGCTGCTAATGGACATTTAATACACCAGGAGGGGTCGACGTAGCGTTTTTCCCTGGTCCAGTCCAATTGTGCAATAGCACAACGCTCTGTTTCTTGTTCTTAATGACGTTATTATACATAGTTCTTGACGTACCGGCACCAGGGGCACCGTAGTGGGACGCGGCGGCGTACGCTGGGGCGCCGAGGTAGCCCGCAGCTGGGGCCCACGCACCGTGGGATGAGGAGGCCTGGGCGTGAGCCGCGTAGTGGGCGGCCTTAGCGTGGGCGACCTCGGGGGTGTCAAGCACATATTTGCCGTCGGGGCTCAGCTGGACGGGAGCTGGCGCCCCCGCGTACAGTGACCCTTGCGCCAGGCAAAGGGTGGCGGCGAGAATGACCTGCGAATGAGGAGTACTGGTTCGAGCTACGTTTGTATGTCGACATGGCATTGATACAAACTGTAATATACATATGTCAATCTGTATACATAATTACTTACGACCGTATTAATTTTTATGTAAAATTTTGACATTTCATAAGAACGAGCAAGTGTCTATGTGAATAAAGATATTTTGAATTTGAACCAAAGGTAGGGTTATCGGATTATCAGACTACTTTGTTGTGTTTTTAATTTTATCGAACACTCATCCTTCAACTAAATTATTTTACTTTTTTTCACAACATTGTTTGTGAGCGACTTTGACGATTTCGAAAACAACCGTAAATATAAAGAAATAAGAATGAAGAATTGTTGAAGTCATGTCAAGTTAGTAGTAATTGGATACTTAATTTTGTTCATCATTTTATAATAAACATGATACGGTACGGTATATATATTAAATGCATTATTAACTTTGTACCGATAGTTTAGCATGGAATAATTTATAGGAAATAGTAATATTAAGTAGGTCGTTAACTACTAAATTATCTTCGCTAAGCCCAAGGGCTTACAAGTAACACGAATACGCGGTTTGTTACGTATATAGAGAGTATTGAATTGCGTAAGCAACTAGTTGCGCACCACCTAATATCAGAACCGAAATAGTTGATACCGGTGCTAAACCACAACACGAACGATGAAGTAAAACAATACAGTCTAACAATTAATCGGTTTCGTTTCTTTAAACTGAAATGATTCGTTTGTAGTCTTAAATAAATAAAAAGAGTTAGGGAATTGATGCCACAATTATTAAAGTAAGATAAACAGGCATCCATTGCATTTGCAGTGGGGTCAGGTCTAAACAAAGAATGGGCACTATAATTTGAGGGCGTGGAACCCCATATTGAATCGCTTATGGACTCGGTTGCAAAGACATTTTGCAACAGTTCGGAATTATCATTTAGCTAACTGGTGCACAACTAGCTAGCTGGTTGTTGCAAAGCGAGTTGCCCAAGAGGAAGCGGTGGGTGGTAGGAAGTTGGAGTTTGGTGAAGGTCGTAAGAAAATTTGTACGGTCAGTGAACATAGAAATTTGGATTTTATGAGACACCTTATTACAGTTGCGTAAACAAAATTGTTACACGTTCATCGTTAAACGAAAATGTTGAGGCGTAAACGTATATATTTTAAATATTGTTGTTTTGTTGACTGACTGAGTGTATGTTTAGGATTATATGAAAAGTAGCCAATTGCCGCAAATTTACTTTTATTATTCCTTAATATATTGAAGGTATATTGAATTGAATTTAAAGTTATATAATATAAAAAAATACTAGAACTAGACTTGATCTTTTATTAATCAAAAAGAGATTTAAAGACTCCATAAAAATAAAAATAGTTTATTTTAACTATCGAAAAGTAAACTTGAATAGGCATTTCTAGTATAGTAGATAATGTAAGTGATTCATTATAAAGCAATGAGACATTGTCTCTATCTATAACAACAAAGAGCTTTTTACTCCATAGACTAATTAGCATAGACATGAACATTTTTGACAATTCGTAGGCGATAGTATCACGGTGCTTGCATTAATTATGCGAGTATATTACATTGTTTTTGTTGGCATAGCGAACCTTGGCACGAAATTTTCCGGTTCGGCTAAGATCCTGAGATCAGATTGATTTATGCGACAAGGTGAATTACAGGCGGAATGGGTGTGAGAGCGACTAATTTTGAGTCTCGATAAATCCTCGTCAGAATTCTTCAGGCACTGGCAATTTGAGAGGTTTTATTGATTATTAAATGCATGTTAACGCGGCAATGATAGCATTATGCAAATACCGCTCGAGACTATAATTGTCGTAATAAGCCCTCGTGAAGTTTAAAGCCGTGAAATTTCTCGTGCATGATTTATAATGTTTTCGTTTTGTTTTATTCGAATTTTAAGCAAATGAACAGAATGGGAAAGTTGCATATCTTTCAAGGAATTATCTTTTTTATCTTTATTAGTGAAAAGTATAGAGAAAAATATTCGGAGAAATCATTAATTTTCAGGTTGACTTATTTTAAAGTTTAGAAAATTCTATACTTATGTATGTATCTTAAATTTCAAGCGGAGCTATTAAGTAGAAACCAACTCACCATAGACTGCATGATGACTATTTTTATTTCTAAGTTACGGAGATCTCAAACGAACTGACGTAGGCGCTGCTGGTAAGCCAGTACTCGCCTAGAAACTTTCGCCTAAGCAACGTGTATTCGCAACCACCTTTGAAGACGGAATGTCGTTTGCAGGCAGCGTGCCCCTTTATATATGAAACACCCCGCTTCGGCCGTTGGTAATTGGAAACAATTAACTTCGCGGCAAGTGCAATGTTACAGTTTTAATTGAGAGATGCGTACGTGTTTCGCCTCACAACATGTTACGACGGAAGGGTTGCTTTAAGGGTTGCGACCTTCATTCTAAAATGCTGTGCTAATTAACAATGGTAAGAACACCCTTAATAATAGATTGTTTATAAACGGTTTCTAAAAGTTTTCTTTTGAGACTTGTGTAATTTGGAACTACATTAATAGCCCTTATATATTCGTGATAGATGAAACGATGTCAAGTTTCTACACTCAATTGCTGTAAGGTCGTTTTTTTTAAATTGTTGGTTTGTCGAAAATAAGATATCTTTACTAGAAAATTACAAAGTTGAACTGTTTTTTTGATAATATTAAAATTATGTTTAGGTTTGAAATTTTAAGAAATTTCTTAATTCCAAAATTTTAATGGAATACAATATAATAATCATTTTAGAACAATCAATTAATAAAATAAATAAATTTTTCATGCGCACTTGAAGGGCGTGGTATTTGACCCGTTTCGTAGTATTGCGGTGTACCGTTCATTACCAAATCCACACGGTTTCGGACTTTTGAATTTATATAATTCTGTAGTATAGATAAATATTGTATATTGCCAATGTACACTTTGAGGAATACAGATAAATGTGAGAAAGGTCTATAAATAATAACCGTCAATTATTTTAAAATAACACTCTGAGTGTAAAGTGTATATGTTGGATATATTTGGGATTGAAAATACTTCGGTGTGTAATTACATATTTAAATCATGTCGACAACTTCTAATGGTAGGCTAAAATTATATATAGACTTCGAGGTAATCTACATAGATCGTAACATGTAGGTTAGTTCATGTAGTCGTCGTTGAAGTCTTTAGTATGAATGATTTCGGCTTCTACGAGTACGAGTAGCATCACACTGTATTGTAATTGCATGTAGAATTTTATTTTATTTTAATGCTCGTCTTTGCATTTAAAATGATCTTAAAATTTTAATAATATTTAAATGTTTTGAAATTCTTTTGTTTTAAGGTTAAGATATGCGTTAATTTTGGTAATTAAAAAGATTCTTTAATTTTGTAATTTATGGTATCCCTATAGACATGATTTAAAGCGGGTTTTCCCATTTAATTCAATATTTATGCCGATTGCCTATACGATTATGGATTAGGGTGCGTATTAAGAATGTAGAATGAGTATTAATTGTATTTAATTTATTCATTTGCTTATTTCCGTCCACTGTCGGACCTGTCGTCCACTATTATATAAAAATTCTTTACTTGTAATATCAATACCTTGTTTTTAATTTGTCATTATGTGTAGAGATCCACTATTTCATTTCATTGAATTTATTTTTCATTCTAATACAATAGTGAAATATTTCGAACTTGATGTAAAAATCAAGTTCTTGATGTGTCAAGAACTTGTGAACTTAAATGTGTTTAAGCTTATCTGCACAACCCTTTCTATAAATTTGCTATTTTGCTTTAACATCATGCTATCAGGACATAATATGTTTTAACTTGATCTTCCATTTCCGTTAACATATCTTGTATACAAATCGTAATCCCCTATACCATCGTAATAGTAATGTTTACTAACTTGAACTAGTATTTTGCATAACATGTAGAATAATGGATAGGACAGTTTTTGAAATAAGTTTTCCCGACTCTTTGTTACGCCTTTGCTTACATTCATGGGTAAGGAATTAGAAAATGCAATCAGAACTTGAAGTTGAATATTTTGTGGGCACAATATGACTTTGAACGGGAATAGAACTTAGGATATGATTCAGTCAAGTGAAGGTCATCAGCAGCAGACAAGCACGAAGCTATAAAAACTGTTTGGTAGCAAATCGTGACGCTGTTTCCAGCACAAACGTAAGTAAATCTAAGATTAACTACTTAGATATGCTTAACGCCTCTTGTCGTATGTTACGTTCCTAGATAACACGGAGACAAACAATTGAGTTACGTATGGTAGCGATAAAAAATAGAAATTAATCATTTGAGAAGAAAAAGAAAATGTCTTTGATTTTGCCTATAATTGTTAATTTTGTCATTTTCGGAACGTCTATATTGTAAACACACATGTAAACGCAGTACTTAAATTACCTCTTTTTGGAAAATTGCACAGAGACAAGTCTCAAAAGTGACAGGTGTAAGCCTGTCGTCGTATATAGATCGAAGTGTGATGTATTAGCAACCGATTGAAGAGACGAACATAGACGCGATAACGTTCTCTTGTCCTCCCTTTTCCGTATCTAATTCAACTATTGCTGAATACAATCAAAGGATGGTTCGGATTAACGTAGCAGGCGTGGGATCCAGTGGTGACCGTGGTACATCTGAATACTCTCTCTACTCTATACTGTCACATCACACGGTATTTCTAATAAGCTACAAGTCAGTTATTTTCGTAGTAGCGGCCGATATTAGTTATGTTATTAATAGCTGAATCTCGACCACTCTGCGGCTTTTTTCTTTTATAATTTTAGAATTAGAAATAATTTATCGTCGTATGGCTACGCGGCAGACTCAGCTGTTGCACTAATGGGCAGGGTCGTCTGGGTAAGTACCACGACCTCACAGAAGACCGGCGTGAAGTGGAAGTATAATACTTTCACGTATAATACTTTGGTCTGGTGGGTGAGATGGCCGGAGCCCAATTTTCAAAAGGATGTCAACGCATCATCAATCCCGTATATGTGTAAAAATAATCGTAATTTCTGAGAGTCTAAATACGAAAATATACTATACATTTCAGGCATCTTTCGTTTAATTTTCTTGAAATTACTTTTATTAACAATAATACATTTGAAAACCTGGTTAAGAAATTTAAATTTCATAGTGGTAATCTCTGCATTTAAGATGAAACATTTAAGGATTGCGTTTAAGATTTTTGTCAGTGAGGCAATCAGCCGTTTAGCTTAGTGGCTAAAGCGTCTGTGCGTGAATCTCGACAAAGTGGGTTCGATTCCCACAGCGGCACCAGGCTTTTTGTACATTTTTCTGCAAATTTACTCTTGTATTAATCACTTTGTTTTCCCATGCGATTTTAGGATCAACAACCTCAATAACATGATTTTATAGATTAAAAGCTGTGATACATAAGCGCAATAAGAGCTTTAACGTATTAATAGACGGCCGCAAAGAATTTAATGAATCAATGAAGCGTAACGAGGAGAGTACGAATACGACGCGATGCACATAATTGCTCGCTGGTTATCAATGCTTTCGTTTTTACATTCGTTTCCTTAACTCGTTGATCGACCGGTAAGTAGATATTTTTGTAGATAGCATGTCGATCAGACATTACGTTATTAACGTCCTAAAACGCTAAGCCTAAAACTATTTCTTTTTTCACGAATTTCAAACATTGTAATTTTTTTTATATTCTTATAAAACGTCACAAAGCTAATTAATGAGATTGTAGCTAAATTAGGAGTTCAAATGTAGATCTAGATGCAGTTCAAATGTATTTATCTGGCGATCTATTATTAAATACCTTCGTTCCGAGATGATTTGAAAATGAATACGATGAATTACCTGACTAGCATTTGGTTTAATGGAAAAACTGCTGCTTTAGTTATGAAATTTTAAAGTGTAATGATATTGATATTTGTATGTATTTTGGTACCATTTCGATGTCTATGTGAATGGCTAAAGAGAGACTTGGCGCCGACTTAACGTGCAATGAACACGCCTCAGACAACGAAGGTGCTTTCAAGGCGTTTGGGCTGACCGATCAAAAATTCCATGGTACGTAGACATCAATCAAATCTCCTCGCCGTTGTCAATGGGGCATAGAAAATGGTGTCGTATACTGGCTCCGATCCTTTTACTAATACAATTATTATCATTGGAGATATTATGTCTTTCATTCTATGAATATGTTTTTTTTGAAAGAATAGTCATTTATTCATAAGTTATGTAATGCATAACACATAAGTACATATTAGTTACATACGGATGGAGCTACTAATTACCAGGTGGCCTGTTAATGATGTTAAAGTGAACACAAAATATGAAATTGACAATTTATTCACGACTTTGCACTTTCTTTCTTGTTTATTATAATTAACAGTTATGGAATTCTTAAACATTTTACTAAGTTATAAGAGATTATTTAATTGTATAATTATACTACTTTAAATCATAATATAATAAAGAAGATACGTAAGTTCATTATAAGAATTATCCAATCTCCTGAAGCATTTAGTTGTAATCTGCATACATGAAAAAAAAATGAAAAAACCAACTGATTGACTGAAGTCAGATAGAGATCAATTGCTGAAAACATTGCCTGAACACAATCTATTCGTACTCCTCATAGGTTGGAAATTTTAAGTTTTGATGCTAGATAAATATATAATATTATATACATTTAGGTAGGTCTGCTAATTTGACGTATGCACCACTTGTTACCATTTTGACCAAACACTAATTAAAACTGTTTTCTTTTTTGTCTTATGTAAAACACAGCTTGTACTTTCTCAATAAGTTTAATCGGAAATGAAAAAAAATAATCCGAAAAAATTATTTAATTTTATTCCAATGGCGCAAAGACCACTGGCTGTAATTGTGTATTTTAGAGGACTTTACATAGGCGTTTGCAAATGGGTTTGGTAGGTTTTGCTCTTCTTTTTTTTCCCCGCCAGATAGATTACAATATTTTCAGCTCTCTCTAAGAACTGTCTACTTAGACCTCTATAGCATCTAGAACACATCGAAAGCGTCATTGTAAAAGTCGACATTACCTTGTAGATTTGGACTTTCAATGCGACATATTTGACCTGTGATTTTC